CCAAGAGTAGCTGCAGCGTCTTGCTTCTGACTTTAATGGCAGACCTTGATCAGAGTTTCCAGCTCTTAGTTAAGAGCAGCAGGGGAATCCACATAGGAATCTTCAGGTTTCGCTCACGGGGGCAATCTCGGCAGGTTAAGCTCATCCAGAGCTTCAGGTTAGAGACAGGTTTCCAAACTAGGTCAGGTCTCTTGATGAGTAGATGCGTCTCAGGTGTGCTGGAAGACTCCAGCTCCAGGAGACCAACGGCGCACTCTGCCGGAGGAAGGTGGTACAGCTCCAGATCCCAACAGTACCCCCCTCTCAACGACCGCCTCTTGGTGGTCCAGAAGATGTCGCCGGGAGGGAGCTCTCATACTCCTCGATAATTGAAGGATCGAGGATGTAAGAGCCAGGCACCCATGTGCGGTCCGTAGCCCTCCCAATCGACGAGGTACTGCCAACCGCGACCTCGCCGACGGGAGTCCACGATCCGGCGGACGGTGAAGGCAGGATGTCCATCGATGTCCAGAGCGGGTGGAGGGGAGTCGGAAGGAGGGCAAAGGGGGCTAGAGACAACAGGCTTAATCTGGGAGACATGGAACGTGGGATGGATACGGAGACTCGGAGGAAGGTGTAGACGTACAGCAGAAGGGTTAATGATCTGGGCAACTTTGTAGGGACCAATGAATCGGGGGGACAGTTTTCAAGACATCCCCTTGAGGGGAATGTCTCGTGTGGAAAGCCATACCTCTTGGCCTATGGAGTAGTCAGGGGCTGGACGTCTCTTGGAGTCAGCGAAGCGTTTAGTGGAAACTGAAGAACGGTTGAGGGTGGCGATGGTGTCCTTCCAGACCCCCTGACAACAACGGATGTTTTGATGGACTGAACGGACTGAGATCTCTCTCTCGTCTGCAGGGAAAAGTGGAGGCTGATAACCGATACTAACCTGAAATGGGGAAAGACCGGTGGAAGCTGACTTGAGTGAGTTGTGGGCGTATTCGATCCAGGTCAGGTACTGACTCCAGTCAGTGGGGTTGTTTGAGGTCAGGCAGCGGAGAGTGGACTCAAGTTGTTGGTTCATCCTCTCCGTCTGCCCGTTAGACTGTGGGTGATAACCAGAGGTGAGCGAAGACTTACAGTTCAGTGCAGAACAGAAGGCTTTCCATACTTGGGAGATGAACTGTGGACCGCGGTCAGAGAGAATTTCCTGTGGGAT